ATGCGATCAGGGGGGAATAGCGCAAGGGCTTAAGTCATCGATTCAAATCCTATCTTTTTTTCGGTATGCCGCTCCGCGAGCAAGGAGCGAATGACAAAGATATATAATAAAATCATGGCTTCCTTTTTGGTTTCATTTTAAGTCCTTCTTATTTTTACTATTTTAGCAACTTTGCTAGAAGTAAAGCTTCTCAAGTGGTGTTTTCAATTCTTTTATTATTTAGTGTTCGATTTAGACTTAAACATCCACGATGATCTCCTGTTATTACTTGTCTTGGTTTTGGTTTTCGTCTCACGGATCTTGGTTCGCGCTTTATGGCATTTCCACTATAATAAGTGTAGGAATTCATGGGTACCTGGGATCACTTGGACCATTTCCACTCTGTGTTGTCTTCTTGACCTTTGCTCTGAGTGGTTGGTCGAACACGCAGAATGTGCAGGAGAGGAGGGTTCCTCAAATGCCCAACTCGATTTGGACTTAACTCTGCGTCCGCCGGGACCAACAGCAGAGGAAATAGAAAGGGAGCTTTCCTCTTTTCTTTCTTCCTTTGGAAATAGGGGAGTGACCTCAAGTGTACTCCAAAATACTAAGATTAAGCTACAATTGGATGTCGCGTCCCCCGCGAAGCTTTTGAAGATCCGGGAACTTCTGCGGGATCTCCAAAGCAGACCGGTTCCTGCTTTCCAAGCGAGAGATGCTTTATTGAAAGCTCTCGCCCGACGGGAGAGGGACCAGACGCGTGATCCATGAGGTTGGCCGCCCAGCGTCGGCTCTACGAACTAACAAGGGGTCGGTCGCGAGAGAGAGAAGGGGTGGTCCGGCGGGTAGGGGGGGCTCGTCAGGGGGAGCAAATCGATAAGTCCTTCGAAAGATAGGGCTTCCCGGAGAATTTGGTGTCTTTCTATTTGGAAACAAAGGACCATAAGTCTAATTAGACACTTCGTCTTTATTGTTCCACTAGCTAGGATAAAATTATAAGATGTCCCTTGCATTATTACAACCTTCTTTTTTGATGTCAAAGACCAGAAGCTACGCGAAAATTTTCATTGGATCTCGGTTGTTCTTAACAGCGATGGCTATTCATTTAAGTCTTCGGGTAGCACCACTAGACCTTCAACAAGGTGGAAATTCTCGTATTCCTTATGTACACGTTCCTGCGGCTCGGATGAGTATTCTTGTTTATATCGCTACGGCTATAAACACGTTCTTGTTCCTATTAACAAAACATCCCCTCTTTCTTCGCTCTTTCGGAACCGGTACAGAAATGGGTGCTTTTTCTACGTTGTTTACCTTAGTTACTGGGGGGTTTCGGGGAAGACCTATGTGGGGCACCTTTTGGGTGTGGGATGCTCGTTTAACCTCTGTATTAATCTCGTTCCTTATTTACATGGGTGCACTGCGTTTTCAAAAGCTTCCTATCGAACCGGCTCCTATTTCAATCCGTGCTGGACCGATCGATATACCAATAATCAAGTCTTCAGTCAACTGGTGGAATACATCGCATCAACCTGGGAGCATTAGCCGATATGGTACATCAATACATGTTCCTATGCCCATTCCAATCTTGTCTAACTTTGCTAACTCCCCCTTCTCAACCCGTATCTTGTTCGTTCTGGAAACACGTCTTCTTATTCCATCTTTTCTCGAATCTCCTTTAACGGAAGAAATAGAAGCTCAAGAAGGAATACCAAAACCTAGTTCACTCGCTGAGTCTCTTTGCATCCATGGCTGAATGGTTAAAGCGCCCAACCGGGCAAATTCGTAGGTTCGATTCCTGCTGGATGCACTTTTTACGTTCAGTTCAATCGCTGCTCACGGAATTGATACATATAGCTCGCCCTTATAGCTTATGGGGCACTTCACTCGCTCAACACTCGTTCAAAACATCCACTCTTTCTTCACTCGCTAGGGAAAGATAAAGGATAGATGACTTAAAATCCCGCTTAGAGATCGCAAAACTATAGTCAGAGTAGGAGTTCCCATCCGTCGAGGCCTCGTTTTACCCGCCCTTGGGACTGGAACTGATTGGTTGCTTGTTGTGACAGCCAAGGTCTGAACATTGTCCCACTTCCCTCATCGGGTTCCTCTCTGTTCATCATGGGGTTGTTGGGATAAAGGTGGGTTTGAGACGCGCGGGTACTCTTGATGCGAAAGGATATGGATCTAGAAGCCGAGATCAAAGCGTTAGTTCAAGATAAGAGCCCTTACGAACCAAGGCTTCTAAAGTTGCCGGAGGGTCCATCATCAAGAATGGCCTAAGATGGTCAGAAGCATTCCTAACAATGCTAGCCACAGCGGAATACTCCGGCAAAACGGGTCGCCATTTCGCGGAATCGAACGCCCTAAGAGGAAGATTTCATTTTCTTTCTGTTTCGTGGAACGAAGTTGATCCATGGTCATCGGGATGTCTATGTTGAAAGAGAACCTAACCTGAAGAGTCATTGGTTTTCCAGGTCGGAAAATGAAGTAAACAACTCAGGTGGACAAGAGGCGAACCACTCAGCTGATGAGTCAGCTATACTTTTTGAAAAATAGCCTAATGAGGAGACGATCATAACCTCTGAGCTCAAAGATGGAAAGCAGATTCCTTTTTTCAGGTTTTGCATAGCTTCCCAAGCGCCCGGCTTTCTTTTTGGGTTCCGAGAGGCAGAGTAGCTTCAGCATTAGGGTATGGGATAGAGTTCGAGTGAGGCATCAACCATAGATTGCGGAACTTTCGAGATGCTTCCTTGCGAAAGCCAACGGAGTCTGTACTGTAACTCAACCTTCTCATCCATGGAAGGATTCCTTATTCGATGATAAATGTCAATCGAGGGCACCCTCATTTCCAGAGAGAGAATCAGGCTGCACAGAAGGGGGAAAGCCCTCCTACTGAGCAAGATCATTAATTAATATTAATAAGGAAGCACTTAACTTAGGGCAGCCAGTCTCACTTCACACAGCACAGCGCCTTGCTATTTGCATTCATCCTTGTAACTTACCGAAGCGAGGATCTCATGCTATCATTGAACGGCTACCGAACCGCCATACTCAGGTAACCGGTCTAGGTTCCAAGTACATCAACACCCCATAGCTACTTAGGGCCGCAACGCAATAAGGCTTTTCGCTCTAGTTGGGCAATGCAAGGAGGCCTCTTTCGCCATTCTTTCTAAATGAGAAACTTTTATTAGTTCAGTTCGGTATAACATCGATGAGAGGATAATTTTTTAACAGAAGCATATGATTGCCCCTCAATCGCCAGGTGGCTCGCTCCAGGTGCATGAGTAGCTTTGCTGGCTCTTATAGCGGCCTCTTTCAGTGGTTCTTGCTTGCTCTTTAAAGCTGATCTGGTGCTGTCTCGTTCCTTCAGTTTGTTCTGATTCCGATGAAGGATACTATATTCCGCCTACACAACTACCTTGCTTGGTGGTTCAAAATGGAAGTCTAGGTATCTGCTTAAGTGGTCTGCTCGTACCGTTCCAAAAAGAGCTGCGCTGACAGGCGTATTTTAAAATGTGTTTCCGGGCTCACATATCTAAATTTCAGCGAGATAGGGTGCGGATAGGTGGAATGGAAATTCCACTCCAATCCCTTTAATGGATCCCCGAAGGAGACGGGTGCAAATGGAATTTCAATCAAAGGCGCTATGACCACTGAGCATGCCAACAAGGCAAACTCATAAAATCGTCTCCTGTCCCAGGTCACTGAAAGGGAGATACTCGCAGCCGAGCTCTCGTCCCACTCCCGCTGCCAACTTCGTGATAGAACGACCATGCGAAGGGATACGGATAGGCTGCCCTCCCACACTTAAGGCATTGTGTTACACCTTAAATGTCTGGATTTAGCGTTATTGTCAAGCATCTCATTCACTACTAAAAGAAAGGTATGGATATTCTGCTCGAAAGCTTGACGAAGAAGCGTAAGCAAAAAGCATATTTTAGGAAAGAGGTCCAGGTAGCTCAGCTGGTTACAGCTAATGAATGAAAAAACGTGTGTGCCGATTTAGATTTCCCGTCTTAAGCCCCACCTCGGTAGCTCAGCGGTAGAGCGGCCTCTTGTATAGTTCAACAGGTAGTCGGACGTGGGTTCAAATCCCGCTCGAGGGAAAAAACAGAGAGAGCAGCGAAGGGGCCTTTCCTCGCTTCTGTCTTTTTTTTTATAGATCAGTTCAGTCTGTAAACAAGCAGGTGATTTTTAGCCGGGAAACTGTAAACTTTCGAAAGCAAGCTCACCCACTCTCCCCCAGTGGTTAAACTCTAGGATCTGATTTGAATTCCATATTAAAGAAAAGTAGACATCTGCGGCCTAAAACTACACGAGTGGATAGATTTACGGCTACTACTTCCCGATCTTTGTGAACGTTCACTTCAATAGGATATCTCGTTTTACTAGCTCGACTATAGAGAGAGGAACTAATGGTAACGAGCCAGACCAGATGATCTTCAAAGACATCCTTCACCGATCGATTAGATGAGAGAGGTCATTCAGTGTAAGACCTGAGGTAGACGAACGGTTCACTGTCAGTGGTTCCATACGTCAATCCCATCCTGAAGGAGCTAATGAAAGCCTGAATTCAATATGAAAGTGGGCTCTTCCTCTTCGATTCAAGCAAGTCGACCATTGAATCTATTAAACTGGGCCGCTTCTTCCCCCTCCGCAGGAAGACTTCCTTCTTTCCCTTGCCTGGCTGGTTATCTCAAACCGGCATTCGAACCCACAAAGCCTAGCCGCACCGCCATTGTGCTATTAGCCCTACGCCTAGAAAGCCTCAGTTACAGACTGAACTTACCTATAGGAGGAGGTTTGATTCCATTGCCATTTACTGTTCCATGCGATCTTTACACCGACACCCCCATCTATCCAAGCCTAGTAAAAGGAGAATCAGCTGAAAGAAGAGAGAGCCCCCTTCCCGTTGTTGTCTCTAACTAAACCACCACCAGTACACTCTTCCACTACAGATGCTGAAAACCCGATTCCTTCCCAGGCTTTTCTCTTCTCCCTGACTTGCTAGTACTCAACCTAGAGATGAAAGAAGTAAGAGCCCCCTCTTGTCGCAAAATAGTAAATTAGGTTCAGTTGGAAAAACAGCTATAAATGACCACTACGAACGAAGGATGCAAGTCCTCTCAACAAACTCCATATCTGCAGAAAAAATGCCACTATTCTCAATTCAATATAGTAAGGCGTTTCTAATCTTCCTCGCAGCAAGACTTCTGAAAGCCAGTTGCTAAGAAAAAGATTAGAACAAGAGGGCTCTGGCGATTTCGGAACTAGCTTGACTCATTCCACCCGGGGTGAACGAGAACTAGTTCATCACCAACATGCTTAACTCCTAGGACTTTTGGGATTTAATACTCTTACTCTTTTTGACCAAAAGATGGTGAAGAGAGGAGCTAGATAGAAGTAGTTTTTAATGAGGAGAGGGAAATCTGGCCATTAGTTAAGTCATTTTTTGTTTGGTCATAAGTTGGTTAGAGAAAAGTAATTAGTTCAGTTTTAGGCATACACTAATAGTAGGTTACGATTCAAAAGAAAGAGAGATTCAAGCCAATCGACCGGCTAAGAGGACTATTCAAATTCTAAAGTAGATGTTCATGCTCATATAGCTGCAAAATGACACTTGACCTATTTCCCTTATAGACAGACATGGAAATTAGAAAGTGTCTATCTTATATAGCTGTCAAATGAGACTTTCACTTTTCCCTTCGTAGAGCAGATCATGAATTGAAAAAGTTCTATCTGGGCAAAATGCTAATTTTTTATAGATTTCC